AATTCAATTTAAAAATTCTATCTCTCATAAATTATGATTATAACTATTGAAACTTGACGGAATCCTAAAGACGATTAGTCATATTGAAAATAGCAATTACAGACGATTTACGTGTCATTGACACACATCACTACATCGATATCTCACTCACGCACGCCACACATACATTTTCGTATAACAATTACGTTTTAATTAGATGTCTAAGTCTAATTTTAAGAACACACTGTTTTTTCATATAAACTAGTTCACAGACTAGTAGTTTACTATTTTACAGATTGCATAATTTTTATATGAAGCAAATGTTGTCACGACGTGACAGCTCTGAAGCACTATGTTGGACTAAGAAATGGAAAAGGTTTCAATTTCGAAATTACTCCACTTCACAGACACGTATTAATTCGTATACTTTAATCCTGGAAAAGGATTTTCAAATCAGTAAGAGAGGAAAAAAATAATTGTTATACAAAAATTATATGGTTTAGTCGTAAGTATTTAGTCGTAGTAATACAGACGACTTTAGGATCTTCTTAATTTGCGTTAAAAAAACAAAAAATTAGAAAAAAAAACAAATATATTTGTTGCGTTTATTTGTTGTCAAATTTGATGTAGAATCGCTTATATATTATACATATGTATAGAGATTTTTGGAAATTCCTGCGAAAAATTACATAATACGACTTATATTTTCGTGAATGCTAATGAGCATGTTATGCGAACGGAATTGTAACTTCTCACATATAAATTCATCGTTTGTAAATGCTCTTTTTTTCTTCGCATCTGCAATTGCGAAGGTAAGTTATTTAAAGATAATTTCGTGTCTGCTAATGGATAAACGATGGTAATAATAATGCATCTGGGATGTCTTTTTTTCTTTTTTAAAGTCGTTCAGTCACTTTCATACTGTAGGATACACGTACGTGGAAGGCCGTGGAATAATAGAGATATTGTTTATCTGGTAACGTGTTATTCCCTATCTTATAACGATACAGACCATCGTAAGTCTCGTAAATAAAACCGATGTATAGATATTATACTGGATTATGTCATACGATCTGCTGTCTTCTTGCGCTTCATTTTTATACGCGCGTTTCATTTTTATGCATGCAACGGAAAAACGGTATGAGTCTCCATTAGTTATTTTCACTGGAAAATTAGGTATGCGTTACATTGTTTGGACGTTATATGTAACATAAATGTATAACATTATTTATATTTGCAAATGGAATTTTATAATACAAAAGAGGATATTTTATCTGCATTATACGTGCATGCATTTGATACTTTTATATTCCCTGTATAATGTTTATTTATATACTTATATTTAATATTTATTAATTGACAAAAAATTATTGTACAAATAAAGGCATTTTATAGTATCGTGTACTGCTGAATAATAGATAAATAAGATTTTATAATGAGAAAATGAAACGTAACAATAATAAAATACAATGATAAAATTTGCAAACTTTGTTGTGGTTTACGATATATTTAACATTATTGACGCAGACGATGATACATCCTATACAAACATAAAGTAATTATTAATAATTCCTATATAATATCTCTACATAGTTCATCTTCTCTCCAATATTGTGGTGTGGTATCTCTTTGTTTCATTTCCACATTTATATTTGGTCATTGAACTTCAATCTTTTCTTTTCATCTTTCCATATAAATATTTTGATAGTTCTTTAGTAATTAAATTTTTGTAGATATTATTATATCTGGATTTGTTTCGCGCGTCCAAATCATGTTTAATAAAAAATCAATATATATTGCGGAGAAAGTTGAGTAAGAATACTCCAGATATTCTGTGATTTGTGCATATCACGTGTCGGATGGCGGTCAGTAAAGTCGCGATGGGGTCAGTGGGGCAACGTCACAATAGTTATCGTCTACTTGCTGCTCAATACAAAGGCTTGACGGTGAAAGCAGCGTAACGAGAACAAGGTGGGACGTAGGGTGAGAGAAAGTACGAAGATTGACCGGGAAAGCGAAGGCAGGAGAACGAGGGAGGACTCTTGAGAATTCCCGATCGATTTTCCTATCAGAGCCGGGTGGTGGTGCGTCGTGAAATGCTGAATAGGACAGCCAAACAATGGGAATTGTACGTGGGACAATTACACGCCGAGTTTTCCAAGTAATTAAGTCGTCGGCCCGCCGTTGTGCGAAAGCAGTTTTCGTTCGTGCATTCGTTTAACGCATCTTCAAATCCTTGCGATGGAAAGATGGGCTGGTAATATCTCTCTCTCTCTCTCTCTCGACTACAGTTATTGCTTCTTAGAATAAAAATAAGAAAGTTCTTTCGCAAGAGTCATGCGTGTTTAATACGAATAAAGAAGTCATTATTTATATCGCAGATAGCAATATATGTAAATAAGTCGATAGATTAAATTTTTTCGACATCACAGATAGGCTATACTTTATGATCTTACGGGTGAGTGCATTATCTTGAAATAAATTATTCTAATCGCTTTAATTCAAGAGAGAGAGAGAGAGAGAGAGAGAGAGAGAGAGAGAGAGAGAGAGAGAGAAAGAAAATAATGTTTCGAATGAGTTTTGCACATAATAATTCAAATTTAAAAAATCACACTTATAGAGAAGACGGTGGTATTATAGCCAGTGTATAGATATTATTGTGGCCCCCCTTAATATCTCCACTATCATATACCGTAAATGTGGGTGACTTGGGACAAGTGTAGGTGATTTGGGACAGCATGTATTTTTGTTAAATTCAGTCATGGAATCCATTCATGAGTCTCTAAAGGAAGTTTAAAACTTAAACTTAATTTAACTTTCTTTAGAGACTCATGGATGGATTCCACGATTGAATTTAACAAAAATACATGCTGTCCCAAGTCACCTACACTTGTTTCAAGTCACCCACATTTACGGTAGTAAATTCTAATGATTACTTATGGAATTATTTGTTCAATAGCTCGCTGTTATATTACATACACCATAACGCTAATATGTCAATACATAATAGCCAGCACTTATTATAACGCATTTTTATTTATAAGTATTTCGAAACATTTCTAAAGTACATTTTAGCATTTAGTTACACCTATTTCCTTTACTTAAATTTTTCTTAAACATCAGCGTATTATCACACGAATATATGTATATTAGAGTGTGTTGTTTGCTATTTAACATTTTATTTGACTGTATATATTTTGAGTTATGCAAATTTAAACAACATTATTGTACAAAATGTAAATAGGGAACCGTAATATCATCATCTCCTCTAATAATTAACATTTGGAAAATTCACATTAAAAAAATCACAATAAGACTGCATTAATTATTAAGTCGCGTATAATTATAACAGACCATCGACTTGCATGACGATAGTGTGAGCGATTAGATTACAATTTTAATTTTTATGACTTGCCATATTAAAATTGACGTTTAAAAAGATATGGTGAACGATTAATTTATAGATTTAATTATAACGATTTACCGTATATGTTTATTTAGTTGTAATTTAATAATAGGTCTGTTTTCTGTGGCTGAACTAGTGTATACTTTTGGAACTTAAAGTGAGATATGTTTAATATTTGTCGAAAGCGAGAAAGAGGGTGTTAATACAGTCTAGTGCAGGAACAGATATAACTACATAAAGGATGATCTAATGAAAGGTCGAAATGTTTATTATGTTTATTTTATTTTATTATTAAAGACATTGTTTTTTAACATTGACATCCAGTGTAAGCTTATATGCTCTTTATAGCTAATTATTTTAGTTATATATGAGCCGTTCTTAGTTGTTAGACACAATAATTCAATTCCCCATTTTAATAAATTCGATTCGAATCGCCGAATACTCGAATCTGCGCACTCTTTACGCGAAATAAAAAAAGACTATGTGCCAGGAGAATGAAGGGAGGAACACAAGGGTCAAACTGATTCACTTGGGCCATCTCGCCGACGGCGAAATAGCATTTAGGGTAAAAGCGTATTCGAAAAGCGGCCGGACTGAACGGCCGTCGAGCTTACACCAACAAAGTGGACACAACGTACACGTTTTGCAAGTCCGAAATTTCCCGATTGATTGAACAAGAGTTGTGTCCTGCCTGCGTCTCGACTCTAATTGCTGAATATCAGCACTTTAGTTCGCTGTTTTAAAAGTTGTAACGATGATGTGAGACCTTGCTTTTTTCTGACCAATTGATTCTTTAATCGCCAGCATTTGATGAATAGAAAAACACGTGATTTCTCAAAGATAATATATCAAATGGGGAATACCACCCGAGAAATAAAGAATTATTACAAATGAGGCATCTAACGAGTTGCTGTAGATAACTGACAATGAGTGTTAAAACAGACAGCAGATTTATACGGAGATTTACACAGAGATTGCAAATATTTTTTTCAATTAATAATTGCTATTTCTGAAACTCATGACGTAACGAATCTAATTGTAAAACAATTTTCCAATGCACTTAGAAACTACAAAAAAGATAGAATAAAGATAATAACGTACATAAAAAAAGATTTTGTCGAAGCATATAAAAATTTAGTTGGATACAGATCTAAATAATTTTGTTGACCATCAAAATAATTATATAGGACATTCAAACTAATTGTTAGAATGTCAAAACTCTTTGCGGCATCGCTTCTCATGCTTGAGATTCTTATGTAATTATTGTGATGATCTAATAAAATTATTTTCGGATCTATATCTAATAACTAAATTTTTAAACTCTATAGCAAAGTCGTTCTTTTCATGTAGCATCTAAAAATAAACAGTAATTACATGCTATTAAGAAGAAGTTCCATTAATATTTCCTCACACTATGTTGGAATTCTGAGTAATGTTGTTAATGGTAATGAACGTAGTTTTTATGTGTATGTATGCGTAACCGCACGAAGATCTGTGCTGACGCAATAAGATTAGAGAGAGACAATAGATATCATTTTTTTAAACAAATTACTGACAAGGTCTGCTAATAAACAGGTGGGTATAAAAGTGCAGCATGTTTCGCCGATAGGATCAGTTGATGAAATAAAGTGCAAGAATTATTAACTATGTCTCGCGCTAGTTTCGTATTGTTTGTAATGATTGGAGTGCTTTGCAGTAAGTTTTAGTATGAATTCATTGAATTTCCTCAGTCTTCGACTAATTCGATCTTTTATAAACAATTATTGTATATCTTAATTCTCTTTTTTAATTGTATAACTCTAATATTACAATTGAACTTGACTATAACTTGTGTAATATTGTATATGCACAGGCATGACTGTCGCACAACAGCAGCAGTGCGGGAGAAATCAAGAGTGGAACACTTGTGGATCAGCATGTCCACCATCTTGTAACTCACAGCCTGATCAAGTTTGCACATTAGTATGTATTATTTAATTGTACTAAATACGCTAACTTCGTTGAAAGTTTTACTTCTTTTCAAGCGATTAACTATAGAACGTTTTCCTAATCATACAGTATGCGCCAAAAAAAATGCGACTCTCTTTTAATCACTATTATGTATGCTGAGTGTGACACAGTAACGCAGTGATTGCAATTAAAGGAAATCGTATCGAATAAATATTTGATAAGACAAAATATTTGTGATATAATCAAATTTGCCTCCATCCACTCACTTTATTTAACTAAACCGACAACTGAAGTGTTAATTATGAGAGTCGCATTTTTTTTGGCACATATGTACATTGCAATAAGATTTCAAAATTTTATAATACTGTTCTTTTTTCAGCAATGCATAATAGGATGCCATTGTAAAAATGGATATATGCGAAATTCTTTAGGAGAATGTGTGCTCCCTTCGCAATGTTAGAAATTAATTGTATCAATTATATGTACTTACTAAAGAGTTGACAACTTATGTTTAACGCCAATGAGATTTTTACTAAACATTTTAACTAAAAATCATGTCTGTCGATATGCCAACAAGTATTAACATATATTAGATGCAATACCACATAATTATTATTGCTTATATAATTACTAATCAATGACAAATAACAAATTAAAATTTTATTATTATAAATATTTATCTATCTATTAATATTAAATATCTATATTTTTGTAAATTTAAAATAATTAAAAATAAAAAATTGCATGATAATCTTTTTAAATATAAATAGCAAATGATTAAGTTGCTTGAGTATATCCTATGAATTATCCTTACAACAAAAAAAAACAATAAATTATTCGTTTTTTACAGATAATTAATAATATTATATAAATGTTATTAAGTCTGTACAAACAATAAATAAACTCTGTAAACCAGTCTCGAATAAAACCGTTTTTACGGTTCATTTTTTTCGGAAAAACTTACATTTAAATGGAAAAACCGTTTACCAATGTAAATTTTATTTTTTTCGGAAAAATGTATTTCGAGATAAATGCATAAACATGATAATAGAATAAAAGTATTCAGGAAATACGTAGATATGATTTACAAGAGACACGATAGTGTCTCGCGCCAAGTGGACGCGCAGCACGAGACCGTCACGTGTTTTATATTGTAATATGACAATTGTGTAAAGTTTAAATAATAAAATACAACAAATATAATTAATAGGACTTTGAATTTTCTCCTTATGCTATATATGCAAAAATAATCATTTGCGTATATATGTTTAATACAATATATTACTAATATGTAGTGTACTTAATATTTCTAAAAATATTCCAATAATCTTCCAAAACTATTAAGAGAGAATAGTGTATAGATAATAAATCCCGGCATTTTATTAAGTCCTACAACGGTATCAAAATTAATTATAGTACAAAAGCCGAACATATCGATTCAAAGTATGGAGCAAAATCTAATATATAGCATTGAAATTACATCAACATGTTTTTTGTTGTTTTTTTCTTTATTATACAATATATAAAAATCGCATTACCTTCTTGTATATAATGAAAGCATTATAATCTATATATTTTCAACTTTATAAAACTTATTTATTAGATAGATTATAAGAAAATTTTATAATTAAATTTTAGAATAGATTTTAATTTATTTGGAGAGCAAAGAAAAGAATTACGTGGAAGACGGCATTTATTTTTTTCATTTCGTGAGATTTCTAAGAAGCGGACGAAGATTCGTACGTCAATGCTGTTTAAATAGTAAAAAAAGGTTTCATGGACAGGCTTCACGGAATAAGATATTAGCAAATATTGAATATATATGTTAAGAGAGGCGCCGCATACAAATGCAGTAGTATAATTAGTTATCTGCATATTATCATAAGATGAATCGTTGTTTGGAGTAATTTTTTTCTTTATATATATAAATGCGCGAGGGTCAATTTTTGTGTAAACATGTAAAATTAAAGAAAGTTTTTAATGTTAATCCTATAAAATTTTAATGTTATCCTGTATGTAATCATATTTACCTACATGAGAATACATTTACGAAAGATGGTATTATTCACATACGTATACGCACAAGTAGAAGACATTAATTATTGAAGATCAATAGTAGGTTCTTTAAAATCAATGTTGAAAGGAAATAATTATCAAACGGTCAGATATGAAAATGTGTCTTTCATTTTCAATGATTGAGTGTATATACTATATGTACATTACGTATTTGTTATATTCAAATTTTAATTATATATAGGAAAAATATGAAAATTCTGTCTTTATGTTTTTATCTTATAATGTGAAATAAATCAATCGTATACCTTGTGTGTGATAAAAAGTCACCATTTTATAATTATCTATTATTATATAATATTAAAGTAAAAAATATGATAAAAATATTAAATTATAAAAAAAAATATATAAATTAAAAATCTTTTAATATAGAGAGAAACATGAGAGAGTATGTGTCTTATTTTTACATTATGGGAACACCTGTCCTTTATAAAAATTTATTAATTAATTAATTTATTAATTTACTTATAATAGGTATAAGTGACAATATTGCAATATTGATGCAATATATATATATTTATAAAGTAATTCAATTAAAAATGACTTATATAGATAATCAGTTATTATTGAGATCATTATAAAAGCGATGAGTAAATAATTATTTATCTTATATTATCTTTATTTATTACATGCCTGTTAATTTTAGGGAAATTTATTTTACTATTTAAAATAAATATTTGTAAATTATAATAAAAAAAAAACACTTAAAACACTGAGCGCATTGTTTTGTGAGATGTTAGAAATATTACGTTTCATTTATTATTAACGTAATAAATAAATATAATGCCATTTATCTAAAATTAAACAGTTGATGTAGAAAGGCATGTAAATCTTCATATAATGGCATTACGTGTTTCTTAGAAACAAGATATACAGGGTGTCCCAACTATTACCACCTGAAATATCTATAAGGTGTAGAGAAAAATTTATATAACCAAAATTACACGATGTAAAGGGGACTATCATATGGCGATAATAATTTTTGTCCAGGTGGAGGCGCTTCGGAGAAGAATTTCAATAAATTAATTGATATTTAAATTTAAGTATTTACTTAATATTGGTATTTAAAACTTTTTTATGTCTAAACGTGCAATCTTCAAACTAAAGAGAATTGACAATCATTCATAAATGATTAATAGTTAAAAGTCTATAATTACAAATAATAATTGATTTAATCATAGACGTTTGTAAGCGCGATAAAATTATGTTGGAGATAAAAATGAGACTTCTATCTTTTTATCATATTCGCAATCGTAAAGAAACTATTAAGTCTAAATTCAACATCGGTGTTATCTTAAATTAACAAACCTGATTTTATAAATCAAAGATTTTTTAATTCGGGTTAGATTATGAACTTACCAGTAGGCAACAGTTTAAAATTCATATTGCGCGCTTTGATAACGTATCGAATTTCTGAGCCAGTAGTCACGTACAAAACTGAGATGAAAGTCCATTGAAAGAAAGAAGGAAGTATGTCCAAAAAATATCTATCTCGGGAGACGTGTCGCGATTGAAGGTCACCCACTATACATATATATATAAGTTCAATGGAACAGAGAGCTATCATCAGTCTAGTTCGAGTTGTACGAGTGCAAGCAACACACGAATTCGAAGACACAGCCATGGTCCGTGCCGTAGCTTTTCTCTTGCTCATTGTGGCAGTCGCCACCATCAGTAAGTCTAACATAATAATAATCAAAATTATTAAATATGGAAATTTTACTGCGATTAATTTTATCTTGGTATTATCATAACTTATAATATTTATAAGATTGTACAAACGTTAGGTTGATGCGCAAGATCGAAGTTATAGCGATGTTATATATAAAGTGAGATTATAATCTCTAACCTTACTTCTTTTATTTAAAAAGGAATTTTTGAATTCTTTTTTCAAAAAACTATTTACTGTATTTACAATTCGAAAAAATCTTGGAAAAATCTTATTTATAATACAAAATCTAAAGAAAGAGAACGCATCTTACGAGACAATCTACTATTCGATCGATTAACCGATCATTAACGGATAGAATTGTGTACACTGTAAACGTAGAATAAGTTTTTTGCTGACAGCAAGCATATATAACTTGATAAGAGTTATTTTACAGAACTTTTTGCAGAAGAGTTTATAAAGTAGAGAAAGTGCGGAACTAAAGAATATTTTACATAATAATAATATTTTTAAGGACAAATAATCTTACTAAAGACAAATAATTAACCTTTAACTACTGTTAAAAATTTCATGAAATTTAATATACTTTTAATTTACACAATTTGAACTTAATTTCATGACATAACATTAAATTTAATGTATTTATAACTGAAAAGTATATTTGTGTACATGTACATGAAATTTAATGTATTTTTCACAAATTTTCATGTGCACGTTCATTACATTTAAGTAACTATTGTAACTTAATTTTCAGTTAAATCATTCATTATTTTTAATTTCATTCATAACTACGAACTTCATTTACATGTAAAGGAAGCTCGTAATCATTTCTAACAGTTTACATTTGTATAGGTGCTGCGCCTAATTGCAATAAAAACGAATATTTCAACAGCTGTGGTTCATCGTGTCAACCCACCTGTCAAAATCTATCACCAGGAATCTGTACCCTAGTTAGTATTGCATTTTCTAAGAATAAACATCTATTAAAAAATTTGTTAAACAATGTTGTTAAATATTTAAAAAAAATTTTTTATGTTGAATTTTTATAAATAATAAATTTAGTTTAAATTATGTATATTTTCAATAAATAAAATCTATAAATATATATATATACTTGAAATATTTTAAAATAACTTGTTTAAATGAAATCTTTGATATATATATATACTTATATTTGTTTTATTTTATTTTTTAGTCATGTATTGCTGGATGCGAATGTAAGAAGGGATACGTAAGAAATGCAGAAAACCAATGTGTACTTACGCAGAATTGTTAATCATTCAGAAAATATGATTTTCCGACGAGTATGTTTCTTACATAAAATGATACACAAATTTAATAGGCGTTAAAAACTTTCTCACAAATTTCCTTGTTATACAGATCTGTAATTGTACTCATTAATATCTGAACAATTGTAGTGTATTAAATAAGTATACTGAATTGTTTAATTTTGTAAAGCTAACATTGAGTTTCATGTTTTAATAAAAAAATTGAAAACATAAAAATACTTTGTCATACTCTAAAATTTTATACATATCCATGACTCTTTACGAATCTTATTAATATCATAAACATGTAGCAATTATACATTTAAAATTTAAAAAATATAAAAATAATATATACATGAGAAAAGAAATAAGTAGCAAAAAACTAAACAATAAAGATAAATGACAATTTCTTTCTTAACTCTCAACAAAGTAATCATAAATAAATAATTTTCTTTTGCGGAGAATATAAATATATAATGTAATAATTCTAATACATATGTATATGTATTAGATGTACAAATATCAGATAATCATTCGATATTTTGCATAACATTAACTCTTCACCGGAAAAGATATATGTACATTTAATCATAAAAAGATGTATGTACATTTTTAAATGTATCTTTCAATGTATCTTTAAAAAAAATAGATTTTATATTTGATAAAAGCTCTGAACGAAACATTTAAGTAGCATGTAGACAATAACGAGAACACGAATAGATGTAGATTAATTTATGATAATTATAAGGCTTCCGGTCATTTTAGTTAATTGTCACCGAGATTATCACAGACATCCTGCATTGGATAAAACATTATTAAGAATTATAATCTGTTTTCTTATATAATTGCAAAACATTTTTTTTTAGTCTATGCTACATGTAAGTATTCCATATGACATGTAGCAATATGAAAGTTTATATATATCTCTTTCTGTTATATTAAATAAAAAAATTATTAAGTTATTGTTATTAATAGTTAAAATAATAATAATAATAATCAGATTATAATAATATTCAAAAAGATGTTTTGTTAATTTTAATCAGATATTAACAGATTATATTTAATATCAATAATTTCGATGTTTGATTTTGATATTTCTCATAAATTTACAGAAATGTATTGTATTTCTACTATATCTTTAATTTCTACAAAATAAAGATAACAGAGTAAAACGTATGAGATAAGTGCCTTCTAAATAACTAAAACTCCATAATCTGGGTGAACACATTTTTGTCGCACTGAGATAATTTCCAAGAGACAACAGTTGTGAATGACGCATATTAGTGTAAAGAAATGTTCCCAAAAAACTGTCTCATGAAAGCGATACAAAAATTACATCTCACTATTGATACCGTGACAATATGCTTACGTGATAATATCACAAAAGTTATACAAACAATATATATCTGAAGAGTAATCGCATATTTCAAATATTAATGCATTGCGTAGAATAAGATTTTAATATCACTTAAGTATTGTTCCACTTAAAAGGCTTTATTTCTTATGTTTATGTGTTATTGGAATTGTTAATATGTTTTTCTCGTCACACATCTGATGCGATAATCGCAGATTAATCATGCAGTTTACACATTCTGGTACGTATGATATGATAACAATTTGATATTAATCATATTACGCAGAAATAACAAGCATTATAATATTTGCAAAGGAATGCGACTTTATAAGTCATTTTAACATTCTTATTATTTTCAAAATAAAAGTTAAATAGAAATAATGAATGGACATTAAATGTCAAATTAAAGAGACGCATTAGTAGCAATACAAAAATAATTAAAAAATACGATCGTAATGGAGCAATGTCACATCGACCATCCTTTAATTTAATATAAGCTTCAATCCTAAAATCGGATTAATCGCATGACCGGTTATCTTTATTAATTAAAGACGTAGTTAATATCTTAGGCATCTTATACCCTCGTCATATCATCTTCTATTCCTCAACCGACAGTTCAGAAAACTGAATCCCGTCGTAAAGCAATTTGTCATTAATGGAATTAAGCAGCGCATTATTATGCGATTCAGAGGCAGATGAGAATTTCGTGAATTAACTATTCCTGCCAATGTGTTAGTAAATAATCTAATCTACGAATTGATTTCTAATATTGAGAGACTGACTCACAATCAGTTTTGCAACGGCACGTATTACTGAGAAAAGACATAGGCGTAGCAGATATAAGCGATTTTTCAAAAATTTGAATGATTTTTCAAAAATTATCAGTGATCATCAGAGAGATATTAATAAAGTCTCAGGCTAATATTTCATTAATTCTAGGATGCTAATCTTACGTACAGGTAAGTAAGGTCATTAAACGCTAAGTTACTACTTTAGTGATCAAGAGATCCAATCTGTCATGCTAAAATCTATACAGGACAGGTTTGTGTTTATAAAGATCTTATAAATATGTTGTCATTATAAATGTGAAATGTATGAAAAACTTATGTTACATTAATTAAGAATGGTCTATTTTCTTGTACGTGAAATTTACATATCAATAGCAATACTATACTCAACAGCGATAGCATTATAGGGTTAACGTCAACATGAATCTTATGCTTTGGAAGCTGTATCAGTTATTATATCGAATCATGTTACGCTATAACATGATACGATATTATACGGTTATTTTCTTTAAGGAATACTACACGTTTCGCTATCTCGAAGAGAACAAACATCCGACGTATGATGAAGAATGGCGCAATATCCAGTTCATTCTTTCAGAGCAGATATTTGACATTCGGCAAATACCATGAACGACGCGCGTAGCCATCGTCCCATTGCTAACGTCTCAAATCGTAGTCGAGAACCCTCGGAGAGATCTGAATCGTCAGTTTTAGAGGGAAGCATGCGATGGTGGGTGATCAACAAGAATGAGGGGAGAGAAGAGGAAATTCGAAGCATATTCGGCTACCGCGTTTCCGGTCGGTCGATTCAATATGCTGGACCGATAAAGCTGAATGTCGACCGGGCAGAGACAATACGACGTTCGAGATGAGGATGGTGAAGGGAAAACGTTTCGCATAGCTAGTCTGTTGTCGGCGTACAACAACTCGCCGGGGATATGCGAATAAGGCTTTAATATAAAAGATTTGCTGCGAGAGAAAGATAATTTTCAAACCATTCACTACCTTATAGGATCAATTATCTTCATCAACTATATAAGACTTGAAAAAAAATCAAATATAACTACATTTTTATTTAATTATATTTTATAGTTTGTATATAATAATTTGTGTGATAAAAAGTGAGAAATCTTACATAAGATGAAAAATGTTAGCATTACCTATCATTACAATGTTATATATATTTATAATTTAAAATATTTTTTTAAATTGCAGTATCCCATCTCATTTTTAAACTACGCAACGTTTGCACAGTTCCTGTTAATTTCGAACAAAAAATTGCATGCATACAAAAAATTAAATTAAATACCATAATTATCTCTTTTATATCAGCTCATGCAGATGAAGAAATACAATCACATATGAAACACAAACATTAAATAAAATTACAAGTTTGAATGAAATTTTTATCCCCACTGACGTGTAACATGGGAAAATGATTTAAAGATAAAAAGACGCGTCTTTTTCGAGATGAAAAGCCTGGGGGACTTGATTCATTGCATCCGATCGTCCCATTTCTCTACGAAGATTTAATCTATTCTGAGCATTGCAACCCAATCGAGATCTACCGTGGATCAGAATTTACGTAAATCGAAAAGTTTCATAATGGAACTCACAAATCTCCGCGATTTGATCGTGTGTCTTATATCCAGACAATCGTCTGGGAAGAGATGACTGTCCCGACGTGCCATATATGAACCTGAAAATCAATAATTTCAAGAATATTCAGAACGTAATCAGATAAGCGCAATCTGTATTCTCACATTTTGTTAAAAAGATAACAGCTGGGTAACGGGATATCTGATCAGGTAAATGGAAAATTTTATGTACACAGATTATAATAAGAGTTATGACAAATTATCCATGAGATGTATTAAAAACAAGATAATATATTTTAAGATTATTAAATTAAATTAAATTAAATTGATTTTCAGCCTCAAGATTAAACTCTATGGAAATATTAAAAATGATACAACAAAGTAAATAATTATTATAGAAACACGCACAAACGTGCAGTTAACATTTGACATGGAATGTAAGGTAAACATGAACTTTTTTATTAAATTTAAATTTAGCATTTGTAATTTAAAATTTCATTTCTGTTAATTTCTATCGAAGAGTTAGATAGCAAAAATAGAAATTATGCCACTAAAGGACGCTAATTGTGTCTCAAAGTACAATCTCCTTACATTCTCTTTAATTATCGTGTTTATCTGTCATAATTGTCTACACTTGTATTTGATTGGAGAACATCACAGCAAAGTAATTACGCCTTAACAAAGACGACCAGAAAAGCACCAACGTGAAGTGGCAAACTAGTCGGTAGGGATACCAATTACACAATAAACAAGTCATTAATGTTTTTGAATGTAGAATTTGACGAATTATCGATAGAAGCATATTAATGAGATATTATATTTATTGACAAATGCTAAAATTTAATTAGATGGACTTATGTAGCTAAAAGCATTGTCAAAAAATTTTTGTCGACCAAAAAATACTAGACTACAAATATTTATCTGCAAATAAATAGATACTTGAACTTAATAGGAATTTATAGCAAAAATAACTAAACATTTTTAACTAAAAATGATATTCGTCTCTCTCTCTCTCTCTATTAATAGTTCAAAAATTGCATCGTAAGTTATAATGTATAAAGTACAGTATTTAAGCTTAGCTCTAAAACTTATGGCACTATCATGCTTATTATGGCACATATATTATCTCTAGTCTAGCAATTTTGCGTGTCCTGAAACCTGTTTTGTAATGTTATTCAAGAATAGCTAAGCTAAAAATAAGTGAAAACGGCGAATCGTTGGGTAGATACCGTCGACACACCGCGGGCACTAAATTCCATAATGAAATTGGACCGTGACTACGATCGTGGATATTCACGCCCAGAAATTTATATAGCAATTAAAATACGGCCCGTTCGCGACATATATAAATCAACCGTGAATTTCGCCATACTCATGCTCTT